ACCGGGGCCGCCCACAGTTCCGGCGCCCTGCCCGGCCTCTGCCTCCCCTTCTACCCGGCCTGCCAGAGCCCAGCTCTGCCCAGCTCATTTTGTCTGGCAGCAGAATCCCCAAGCCTTTTTGACTGGATCGATATTGTCCATCATTTCTTCACTGCTTGCGCTCAGATGAAAAAAGGCATCGGGTTGACTTGAGGGTTTTGTAGCACATGATTAATGTAGCCAGCGTTAGAAAGGGCAAATGAAAGTCATCCTAATGCCAACTATGGCTAAATTGCTGTGCTTTTTTTTGTGGTATGATTTGTGGTCACTGTTACTGTGCCGGGGCAAAGCCCAATATATACATATATATATATATTACGCATACCATATGCCATATGCATGTTGTTGTCTTCATGGCAGCCGGGTGTTTGGACCCCGGGCTCGTCCTAGGCCGCGAGTACCGGGAGTCGGCATGCCACAAGTTTGTGCACTTCCTCCAGGAGCGCCAGGTGCTCGGGGCGCTGGCCAGGGTGAAATGTATCGAGGCTGTTCTGGAACCATTGCATGGGAAAAGAAACCAACAGGCTTGAAATTACAAGGGGGCCTATAGATTCGAATATGTTTGAATTATACTTTTTGTTTATTGAGGTTGTCCTGCGGGTCACGAGGATGTTTCCATGTGCTTCCATGTTGCACAGAAATGAGAGCAGATGGCCTGATTGACTTTGTCAGCAGGAGATTGAACATCATGCGTTGTTCTTCTGATCCATTGATCAGAAATCCATCCATGAGTCAGAGTTGGGGCCTTGGGACCGGGAGCAATTTCTGATGATTTTGCATCTTTCCAGCTGGTTCTGTGCCATGTTTAGGAGTGGCACTACTGTAAATGCATGAAGATTGACGCTTTCCAGCTGGCAGCAAGTTACAAAGGATTTGTTTACCTACTGGCTATGGGTATGCAACCGGTGCATGGTGACGGAAAACATCATTTTGGCAGGAACCAGCAACTCTCTCCCTCTCTCTCAATACATTCTTTAACACACATTTACAATCAAATATATATATATATATATACACACATAGCAGGGAACCTGTCCGTTTTTGGGGGTTTTGCACCACCATCACCATCACCATCATCCTCATCCTCATCCTCATCCACATCCTCATCCTCATCCTCATCCTCATCCATCTTATCCATTTTATCCATCTATCCACTATCCATCTATCCATCAATCAATCGATCAATCAATCAATCATTCAATCAATCATCAATCATCAATATCATCGCCCTCCTCATCATCATCACAATCATGATCATCATCCTCATCCTCATCCTCATCGTCGTCCTCCTCCTCATCCTCATCCTCATCCATCTATCCATCTATCCATCAATCCATCAATCAATCAACCAATCAATCAATCAATCAATCATCAATCATCAATATCATCGTCCTCCTCCTCATCATCATAATCATGATCATCATCCTCATCCTCATCCTGATCGTCGTCCTCCTCCTCCTCCTCATCCTCATCCTCATCCTCATCCTCATCCTCGTCGTCCTCCTCCTCATCATCATCATCATCGTCAATCATCAATCATCAACAATCTTCAACCATCATCATCAATATCATCGTCCTCCTCCTCTCCTCCTCCTCCTCATCATCATCATCATCGTCATCATCATAGTCATCATGATCATGATCATGATCATCATCATCATCATCATCATCATCATCATCATCATCATCATCATCATCATCATCATCATCCACCACCACCCTCTCATTGGACTTAATTTTGTGAAAGGATCCGTGAAACATCGTGAACCGTTTTCAGCACGAGGATTTTCGAGTGGAGGATGACTTCAAACTGAAACTAAATGTGCCAGTTCCACCCGCAGATACGATGTACTATGGTATGCTATGATATGAGTATGATATAACATTATACATGCCTAGTACTATTGAAACGGGTTAAATGGGTAGACCTCCCAAAATGAACCTGGCAGAGGAAGATATCAGGATGATGTTTTTCTTCAGTGACTTCCGGACCTGCGCCCAGGTGCCACTGGGCGTTGGGACTCCAGACCCCTTGCAGGTGCTCTCAACCGAGCCGGAGCAGGCCGACCAAACCGGGGCAACACCCCAAAGTTGAGTGGCGCCGAAGTCTTGTTCCGAACATAGTGACTTAGTGTGTGTGTGTGTGCTGTTTTGGGGGGGTTAAGACACTTCAGGCACTTCATGTTACTTTCAAGCATTTTGTGGGCCACACGTGCACATACGTACAGCAAGATCGGAGTCAATACGGCCTGTGAGAGATCCCACCACCCGAGGACAAGGATCCCACCCCAAATGTTTGGGCGGAGGCGAAGATTCTTTAAAGGAGCATCACCATATCGGTGTGTATTGAAATTGGGGAAAACCAAAGATCCCCTGGAAGAATGGACTTTGACCAGTCTACTCAGTGTGTATGGGTGTTTCCCTGTTAAAATGCACATCCAGCATCCATATTGAGAGATTCAATTTTTGGATGTCCCAGCTGTCAGGCACGTTGGTGTTCCTTTGGTTTGCCCAGCGACCGGGTCTCTCTGGAGAATGGCGCCATTATGACGTGCAGCGAGCGCTGGTGCTTGACGCTGGTTGACATGACCCAGCTCGGAATCCCCACGAGAAGAAACCAAGTGAAGGTACCACCAAGGCCCATCCAACAACCAGGGCTGGCTTGGTAGCTGGTAGGCTCCTTAGAGGTGAAATGGGTGTCGAGCTGAACCACCCCCTTTTAGGGGGGGCCCTGGAAAACGGTTGATGGACTTTATTTGTCCTGGGGTGGGTGGGCATATCTTCTGAAGGGTGAACATCAGAGTGAAACCTTCGGCCGATGGGATGCCCAATTGATGACAACAACCAGAAGTCGCTGAGAGCCAGTCGCAGACACCCAGTGCCAGTCGGGAAGAGCTCCTGGTCCGAGTGCCAGTGAAGCATTGCAACATGACCCCATTGTAGGGATAGTAAGATAGTTTTTGCATGTTTTTGCAGCTGTTTTTTTTGCAGATGGGGCATCCTTTGCGTTAGCTGTGTTCTGAAGGTTTTTGAACCTCCATGAGCGCGTTTGAGTGAGGATCGACCCATGAGTTTCAGGGTAGTCCAAACGCGTGGCGCCCAAGGATTATCGACCCACAGATGCAGGGGATTGTTTGGATCAAGACCAAGGCTTCAAGTCCGTTGCGGAGGGAGGTCGTCAGCAAGCCGTTCTTCTCGGACGAGCCGGCCACGTCGGACGTGTCCGGTCGGATGGTTCACGTCGTCCACGACCGGTCGTGCATCGTGCGAGGTGTGTCGCTGCGTCCCGCGGTGCAACGATTTGCCAAGAGTGAAGTTCCAACGTCATTCCAAACAGGGGATGGGTCGTGACCATCAGCCGAACCAGTCCACCTTTGGCCGCGAAGGACCTGACCTGCGGTAGGTCGTCGTGCCCGAAACCGGTCTCCATGCCATGACCCACAGTCTGAAAGAGTGATCTCCTTGCGCTGTGGTTGATGCTGCGATGGAAGACTTTCTTGCACATGACGTACATAAGTCTCGCCGGTTTGGTTTGCTGAATGGTTTACATAGCCAGCAGATGCCAGCAGGAAGAAATGCACAGATGATTCCAAAACTTATGACACAATAAGTATAGTTTCTATTAGTTCCTGTTAGATGATTTAGATGCCACGCTGATGGCATCCACGTCAAGATTAAATATTATTCCCCACCTGCCAGGTGAGGGTGTGTTTTATTTTATCAGAGCTCTTCCCGTTCCTCTTCTCCTCTCCTTGTCGTCTTGACTACTGCACCTCAACTGCCAGCTCCAGATCGCAACGGGCTATACCTCAATTGCACGTGCATGATCGCAGTGGGCACTACCGGACCTCAACAGCAAGCGCCAGATCGCAGTGGGCACCGCCGGACCTTGCCAGACAGAATGTCAGAATATATGCCAGATAATGCCAGATAGAACCCAGTGGGTCAACGCACCAGTTTAACCAGTTCTTTAGTAACACACCGGTGTAACCGGTGCTTTAGCAAAACGGGAGCTGGAAGCTTGAAAAGGCCGTGGCAAACCCGTGAAAAGGACGTGAAAAACCCGTGAAAACAGGGTGAAAGGCCGTGAAAAACATGTGAAAATTAGGTCTTGGATGTTGGGAGGTGAAATGCGTCCTTTACGCTATCGCACCAGTTTAACCCGTCCTTTGGACTTGCTGGGGAAGGTCAGAGTTTTTGCCAGATAGAATTTCAGAATGTACGCCAGATAGAATGCCTGAGCACTTGCCAAATAGTTCCAGAGTTTGTGCTAGAAAGAATAAAGTGTTTGCAATCGTGGTAGTTAGAATGACAGCAGTTTTGCCAGATAGAACTCAGAATATATGCCAGTCTGATTTTATGCTACATCTTTAATGGCAGAACAAATATCGGAATACATGTCAGAACACATACCAGGACTGAAGTTGATCCATGTGTCCCAGCACATGTCAGACAGGAATAATGTCAGGGATGTCAGAACACAGCCCAGAACGTTTCACAGCCTGTATGATAGATGACGTGCCAGAGCACAAACCCAGATTTGATTCCAGAATCCGCGCAAATCGCCTTTCAGGGTGGGGATCACTCGAATCATTTGTTTTGGATGTCGTGTTTGCAAATTGTGTTCCCACTCTGCGTTCTCACGACAGGAAGCCGACAACAACCTCCAAGTCACCCGGATGGGTAGTCCGCGCATGGTGCAGGTGCCAATCGAAGCCAGTCGAATGGGCCAGTCGGCGTTGGCAACTGAGAATGGAAAGGACCATTTGGTCTAGTGTGTAGCAGATCATAGAAAAACGTAGTAGATACTTTGTGATGTTAACATTGTCATGTTGTCCACCCCCCACCGCACCAACAGGATATGCAATTTTCATATTTCAAGTTTATACTAATACATGTTATGTATTCGTTTATATTGTGTTTTGTTTGTATACTCTCAATCTCCTGGAACTGATGGATAAATACCTTGCTAAAACACGTTGCTAAACTAAGTTTAAGTCGTCAGGTTCTTCATGCCCAGTTACCTCACAGTTGAATGTGACTATGATCCATCATTTGTCCATCATGACCTCGCCGATGTCGTGCGGTCCTCGCTCTATTTACCGCGGCCGGAGTAGGGGATGGGGAAAAACAAAAGCAGGTCTTTGAGCAGTCCATCGAAGCGGGACATCCAGTCTTGGTGGAGAACATGCTTGAAACCGTGGATGCAGTGCTACAACCGGCCACTCGACGGGTCGAATGGACGCCGTGGAGCGGGGAGTCCGTGACTAGGAGCGGCAGATCTAAAACCATGCAAGACCTAGGAAGGGCAGTACTTCAAACATGCACAAATTGTTGTGTTTTTGCTGGGGGGGATGTCTTTCGTGTCAACTATAAGTCCTAGGGCCTGAGAATGCCACTCGGAGTCAGGTCGCCATTTTTGGCCCCTCGTAGTTCAGTGACTTCTGCGGTTATGGCAGGCCATTCGGGTTTCCCCAATGGCTCTGGGTCAAAACCCGGAGCCCTAAAACCTTGGTATTTTGAGTGCATTCCGTGATCAACCGACCAGGGCATTCCACTGGGCATTCCGTGTGCCATAACCCACCGCCAGTCGATGGTAACTGGTTTACAGTCCATGGATTCAGTGGAGCTTCCGATTTCAGACCGTTCACCGACCCTCAGCACCACGCATCCCCACGGTTTCACACGGCGCGCCGCCCAGACGCGTTTCGCCACGTCAATCAAGGTGATCGCCCGCAACACCTTGAAGCGCGGCACCAAGCGAGTCCTCAAGCTGGGAGAGAAGGAGCACCGGTGTTTTCGGAAACAGCTGCAGTTGCCAGACGAAAAGCACGGACCATGGAATCCAATTTTATGGACTTTAAGACTTTAGGGTGATTTAGGGTGTGAATTTTTAGGGTTTGGAGACCCCTGGGCCCCTGGATTTGAATATTGTTTGATGTCTCTTCTTCCAAAGGGACGTTGCCTGGGAGGTCTCCTTGCTGTAAGGAAAGCACCTTTTGTTTGCCTCCTCGTTTTGACATGTTGACCCATGGCCAGTTGCAGTATGTGTTTGATTTCATTCGGACAACGCTGGAGGGAACCATACCCTTCCATACCCTCCTTCACTGATGTTTGTTTCAACAGAAGCTCCAAGGGAGTATCAGTGGAGTCCCCCCCCGTGAAAGACATGTTGTTTAATTTTATGTTCACTTATGACCATTTTTGGGAAACCAATTCCTGCGTGTTCACGCATGTTCTAATGTCCATGTTGTTTCCACCTTCTTGTTCGTTCGCTTGAGACGGAAGAAACCAGACCTTCTTCTTCCGCCAGACTCTTCCGACTCGTCGGACGCCAGGAGATCGCCTACAACCCGAATTTCAAACTCTTTATGCAGACCAAGCTCTCGAATCCACATTACCCTCCTGAGATCCAGGCACCACAGAGTTAGTCAGTCGACCTGTCTGAGTCTGCGACCAAGCCGAGCTTTTTGGCCTGTGGCGGGAGTTGCATGAGTGTGTAGCATGTGGCGGAGCATGCAGCGTTTTGGAGTTGGCGAGGTTGGTGGACACCTCCATGCCCACCAACCATCCGGAAAGCATAGTATTGGGAACAATGACAATTTTGACATATTTTGACAATGGTTGTCGGTTGACATATGCCATGTATATACCCTATAGAAGTCGAACCAGTAGTCGAACCACCTTTTTACTTATAGCCTTTACCGAACAACCATTGTTTTACTTAGGGTTTTGCACTACAAAATCAGATCAACCATTCTAAAATATGGTCCTGGACTTCCAGGGTGCATATGAATGAGCATGATACAATTCTAGAAGCGACATGCAGCGGCCGGCGCCCTTGCGGATCTAGACCCACCCAAGTCGGCCATGGATCCCCGCGTCACCGTCGCCAGGCCGAATGCACCGTGATCAACTTCACCGTCACCGAGCAAGGCTTGGAGGAGCCCCGTGGGGCCCATGGGGCGGATGCGATGGAGAACGATGGAGTCGAGGTCCTGGCAGATCATCGCGACACTCCATGGGACTATTTGCGTATACATGTCATGTAGGGGTGGTTTCAGGGTCCAATGTATATAGGCATATATTATTCCATACTTGGAGTGTTGGGGTAGGAGATCATAGGAGCATAGCCAGCATAGCTGTTTCGGGTTGCCCTGGCTTGTTTTGACGTGACATGTACATGAAAGAAACATGTTTTTGTGACAGGATTGTTGTTATTATTTGTTGTTATGATGGTTTGCGATCATATCAGACCTGAGCCGCGGGTTTCTTGGACATTTGGACATGTCAAGGGCCTGAAATAGATGAAGACAGTCTGTGCCACTCCATGTGCCACAAGTGCCTTCTGACGTTGAGCAGCTCGGCTGGGGGTCCAGGGATCCTACACCAAACCCTCCACCTTTGGGTTCATTCGCAGACGAGATGTTTCACCCCATGCGTGCAACTGTCGGACATAGGCGACTGGCGGCTCTCAGTTCACTTCGAAGCATCCCAGACCTTCCATGCCAAAGACATTCAAAGACCTGAGACCTGTAACAAAAGCATAGACCTGTCCCGCTTGGCCTGATCACTGGAAGGTCACATGTTCATTTCCGGTGCTTGAACCGCACCAAAATGTTCCGCATCGACCAGACCTGCGCCGAACCTCTTTTCCAGACCAAATCATCCACCAGGATCAGCTGCTCTTTTTGGTGGTGAAGCTGGAGCGTCCGGATTTGGCACGCATCAAATCTGAACTCATCCAACAGCAGCTGCTCGCTCCAAGGGGCGTCAGTTCGGACCCGTTTTTTGTTTTCAATATCCCAAGGCAAATGGAAAGCAACTGGGAGTTCCATGTTGGGCTTTTTGACATCGGTCGGTGGATCACAGGCAAGCTTCTAGGGGCCCCTCATGATCTATGAACTAAGTACAGCATCCCTCTTGATCCTTTGGAATAAACTTGTTTGCCCCCCTGAGGAGGGGTTTTGATGTTTTCCCTTCCGAGGTGGGAGAAGGACAAGGATAAGCTGTGAAAGCAGCATACTCTTGTCCAGCGGGCTCTGTTGAACTTCAATGCTCGTTCAACGAAGGATATCTTAAAATGGTTTGTCCCTTGGCTATCCTGAATCAACAACCCTTTTTGCCAGCTTCAGTCATAATGTGTCAGAAGTTGCTTGCATATGTTTGAAGGACACAAGCCAAGGATTAGGTGTCTCTCCATTTCTATGGTTGCATCTCTGAGATGGGTGCTGTGTGAGACTGACACCATCAATTCATTCGGCACTTGTTGATGGATGATTCGTATTCCGACCTTAATACGCGCCACTTTCTGTGCATGAAAGCAATGAAACCCGAACATACTTTGTATCGGTTTGCCAGGGTCTACCACTTCTAGCCGGGCACTTTTACCCTTTTTACCTCGTTTCTTTTCGTCCACTCGGACTTGTCGCGAGGAACGAGTTCAAGGTGCGCTTGGCAGATTTGGAAGCCTATCTCTTAGAGAAGCTGGCGGGAGCTGATAGCGACATCCTGGAGGCCCGCACCGCACGTCGCAACATCCGCCAGCGCCCACGTCGCGCGGAGTGGGCAGATGTGGGTCATGCCATGTGTGTTAGTGCGGCGCGGGCGCGGAAGCTCATGCTGTGTGAGAAGGGAGGAGAGCCAAACTGACATTAACCAATAACATCTAATACTATTGATTCAGTGTCTTAGTCATCTAATGCCATGTAGTAGTGATGTAGAATGTTGATGAACAAAAAAACGCGCACACACACACATGGAGTTGTTGTAGAACCTCATCAGGCCTGAGAGCCAACCGTTTACATGACACCTTAATTCACCGAAAAAGATCGATGTAACACCATGATGTTCAATCATATCTATAGGATTTCCGGTGCACCTTCCCTTCAACATATGTAGACCAATAATTCTTAAGGGGAAACGGAACATTAAATTCAACTTTTCTCCCCGCAGATGAACGGCCCATCTATCAAGCTGCACAGTTTGATCCCAAATGTCATCAACTCACTTAGCACCAGCGCCGTCGTGATGGGGAACGGCCCGTGGTCGCTTCGATCGGCTCCCGAGTATGGAACCCCCAGCAAACCTCAGTCGCTTCCTTCTGAGCAGCAACTATATAGTTATGAAACTGGGATCAGAAGGCGAAGGAAGGAAGGTGACATCGAAGCTACTAGCTACGCCACCAGAACCGAACCCCCCAGAGAAACGGTGGCGTCCGAGCTGATTCGTGAGGACACCGAGCTGGTCTTTGGCTTGGAGGATGCCAAGTTCACCTCCGAGGAAGTGAAAGAGAAGGCCCTCCGATGAAGTGAAGGGCCTCCGATGAAGTGAAGAGGGTGTCGGGGTACGGTGTCGATCAACGAAAGTGGACTGGAGATGCCATGGCATACCATGGCACCCTGCACCCTGCCGGCAGCTACCTTCCATCTTCAAAACCCGGAGTTTGGTATCTTCAAGTCATCAGCTCCAAACATCAGCAGCCAGCGGCTTCTTTTCATCCATCTTCCACCCATCCGACGGCACGACACCACGGGTAACCGGCGCCCGCAGTGAAGTCACCGTGTTCAGCGGTGTATTTCGCCGGTTCAGCGATGGTTCGGCTTCTTCACCACTTGTTCACCAAGTCATGCAGCAAGTCGTCTCGGGGGGCCAGGCATGTTCGTTGAAAAACATAACTGCGAGACGTTGCATTGGTTCATTTGTATAGGACTGGTTGCATGTGTGCTGTCAGACGCTACTACCATTGGTTTGCCTTTGCATGGAGGGTTGGGTGCGCATGGAGACACACACCTACGTTCATGCTTCTCAGTTAAGACATACACTGACACACACACAATACATACACTGGATCACACGCACAGAAATTGGGCCTGCAAAAAGAACACTATATATAAGGATGTGCTCCTCCGCAAGTGAGTGGTTTGGGCTCTCATGTTGTATGGCTTTTGTAGATGCACCCTCCTAAACAACTAAGGTGGACTGAGACTCAGTCTGACTCAGAGGGCTTGAGAAGCTGCCACTTTGGATGGCCCATGACTTTCCCACACATCGGATGGTCATTCGATGGTCACGCCCTGCGCGGGTTACCTGCGTCTAGACCTGTCTAGAACCAGACAGTGATCGGTCTCGAGTGTCAGACGTCCAGGTGAAAGTGGCACAAGAAACCGAAGGGAAGATCAATTTGATCTCCCAGAACTACGGCCCCTTGGATTTTCGTGAACTGGCCCCCCCCGCATCTGTCTTTTTCCGTATATCTTTTCCAGTATCTGGGAACCACCTTGCAGTTCGTTGGGCAAGTTGAGAGGGCATGGCGTTCGCCCCCAAACTGAACGTGAGATGCAAAATTGGTTTGTTTGTCTTCGTGGTGGATCCACGATCCGCAGGGACACCCGGGTGAACCCCGTCCCCGGTTCTCAGAGATAGAAGGAGAACCAGCTCACGATCGTGAGATGTAGATATCGCAGATTGCTACAGAAGACCGAGGTGTCGACAGCTTCGTGACATGTCGCTCCAAGGGAATCGCTTCGTGACACGACCCCCCGGCTTCCGCCCCGAGTCGAGAGTGTTGGTCCTCCCGGGTCGTCTCGAGCGAGGTGGATCATGGACACCCCGAGCGGACGCCACTACTTGATACCCCCGTTTCAACATCCGGTCAGTGACGCTGAGTTTTCAGGAGGTTCCATGGTCTTCTGATCTTCAGCATTCTTCAGGGTCTAGGAACCTAGACATATAACTAGGATTGGCAAATCAGCTTAAGGCGGCCAAGGGGTCTTTGCGAGACTTAGGTTGTTTCCATAGTAGACTACTTTTGCCATTTGCACCTCCCAATTCCATGTAAATGTGAGTGGGAGGGAGCTTGGGTGCAACCCGCCACAAAACACCGTTGCAAACACGATCTACCTCCATACTGCGCCATATCTGACAGCAGTTCCAGCCGCCTGTGCCGAACATACCAGGGCCCCCATTTCGGGGTGGTTCATAGATACCCATGAACCTCTAAGGAGCTTTTATTGGATACCCCTGCACGTCCAGCGCAGCAGTCCAAAACGCCCACCGTCCACCGGTCCGCTCCGCCCAGCTCCGGGACGAGGTCCCGTGGCCAATCGCGGCGCCTTGCTTTTCTTCCTCATGATGGAGCTCAGCAAGATGCACACCTTCTACAAGCACCCGAAAGCACAAATCGGTACCGTCAGGCTGTTGAAACACTCCGGAGAGGCCTTTCTTTTTTAAAACCCCAGGTCGCTCCTTTCGGCCGACCGGTCCCTCAAAACCAGAGGGATTGGTTCAGGTCTGGACCCCTCCATGAGCGTTTGGGAGGGATGGTATTTTAAGCAAGTTGGGTCAAAAAGTAAAACACATCACACGTGTGGGATGCCTCTTTGATGGGGGCTTACTATAGTATGGCGTAGGTAGTGTTACTATTGCCCAAGTTCCTTTTGGGATCGGTCCTTTAGGGTGTTCTCATTGCTTCCATTCTGATCTATTCATTTTGTGCCACTTGCCTAACTCCGGTCTCGGATCGTTCTGATCTGTGCCGATGGATCTGTGAGGTTGGAGCCTGCCAACTGTCGGATTTTTAGACAAGGTCAACTGGTGTTTTTTTACATCATCTTAACGGCCACACGGGACGGGTGGGCGCTCCCCGAAGACTGGCCGCCGATTCTGGATCGTAAGCCAAGAGGGTGGACCTGGATCAAGCAGGTCAGGCACCACCCGGTGCCAAAGGATGGTTTATAGGTGTTGATAGGCCCCCCCTGACCATGTGTTTCCAGCCAATAACCCTCCACCCAGGGTGGTGCTGGCTTATTTGCTGGCTTCTACCTTCATTTCGCAGGCTCCACCTTTCAGGGACAGGAGCAAGAAGCTATAATAAGCTATAGTAACAAGTAACAAGGGCATCGCTACTAGGAGCAAGAAGCTACTAGTAGCTGCATTACTACTAGTAGCAAGGACGTAACTAGTAGCAAAGAGCATTACTAGCAGTACCTCGCCGGAATGCCCGTCCCGCCATCGAGGTACTCTTTGGATGCTTTTGTGCAGGTGGTCACGCGGGCGGTGAACCAAGTCTCTTTGCGACAGGCCAGGCGACCGTGGCTTGTTCTTTGGGGTGAAGACTTGTTGAAGATAGTTCCTTGGCCATGGTGTACCAGCTGACTTCGTAAAGACTGAACAACCGGAAAGTACAAACCAACAGGGACAATTCAAGCGATTTCTTTGTACAGGCCTGAACCCCAGAGGTCAAACCTTTCTGGGTCAATGTTTGGTTGCGGTGGTGCAAAACATATTCCACAAACTACACTTTGACTCACTAACATGAAAGTGGTGGCCCTTTGGAAGGCATTTCCCTTGTAAGAGAAACAGGGAGTTCTTCCACTACCATCTAAAGTAATGTGTTCAGAGGGCATCTCAACCCAAACGACGCCACATGACGCCTCCATGTCTCAGTACATGTCCAGCCAACCTCACGTTCTTCGTGCAGCTCTCAACCTCCGCGGCGGTGCAGCTCTATACCTGCACCTATTGCAAGAAGCTACTACCCAGAACTTCCAACGTCGAAGTTTAACTTAGCCAATGAGAAACGTCGAAGTTAAACTTGTACATTGTACACCTCAGTGCGTCTAAGTTTTACTCATGTTAGTTGTCTTAAACAGAACAGACTCCGCAGAACGACGAAGCTTAACCTGGTTAAACATAGACAGAAACAACGTCGAAGTTAAACTTAGCCTTTGAAGATTAGGGTACTAGCAACGGGCGCATCACTACTAGTAGCAAGGACGCGACTAGTAGCAAGAAGCGCTGCTTACCCATATACCGTATACCCTCAAAAGTGCCCCAGGCAGGTGCACCGCCACGCAGTGCCTATTTAAAACGCTCCCCTTAAGAATGCGCCGCTTGCATGAGCGCCTTAAGATGCGGTTGAGAAACGCCTCACCAGGTCAAGGAGAAGAAGACGGAGACCCTGGGCATCACCAGTGCGCTGAAAGACATGGACGAGCGTGAGGAGCGGCGCGAGTCCGCTGCGCAGCTCACGACGCCGGAGCTCCAAGGTGGGAAGTCGTGGCCGGGGCAAAAGGTCCGCTGATTTTTCCAGTCAGATGGAAAACATTTTGAGTGGCAAAAATGGCCGCCCAATGGTAGTATCACTGAATGATGGAGCTTGAACATCTTCAAACTGTGTGACTAAGTTCCTTCTCCAGCACGAAGCTGAGATGTTGAGATTGGGCAAGCCAGCTTGCCAAGGAGGTTCTCCTTCTTTTTGGGCCTTCGCGGCCCGCGGAACAGGCAGCGACGTCTTTGAAGGCGACCATGTGGAAGAGGACGACGAGGTGGAGGATCGCTGGTGGGGGCTGTCGCGCGAACTGCGGGGGGAGAAGCCATGTGCGTCCTGGACCCTTCCGAATGGGAGGTCCTGCAAGGCCCCCCAGTTCGGCCATTCTCTGGAAGAACCACCTCAAAGACCATCCTCACGAGGTACCATTATGGGGAAGTGATGGGAAGTGGTGATCCAGGTACCACTGCAGTGTTCCAAAGACGAAAGCCAAAGACGAAGTCCACTGGGTTATTCTGTCAATGTTTTGTTTCTTTTTGTGCGTGCATGGGTCACACTCCCTGAAGATGGCATGGCTTCGCCCCTGAAAAGACCATGAAATCCTCTACAGACAGGGGGCAGGGTGATTCCCTCCAATTCCACCGGTGTCTCCACTAGTGTCTCCACCCCCCAACCTGCCGACAGTCCGGCCGATGAACGCAGGAGATTGTGGAGCTTTCAGGTCAAGCCTTGACAGATCGGGTGAAGCAGCTGGAAGGCCGGAATCACGGGCTCGTCGACACGGACATGGAAAACCGGAAGTCATGGGTTCCGTTCCTTTATATATACAGACCAATATGCAATGCTCTTGGTGGCTTTCATCAGCACTGCGCTGCTTTTTCACGTCATCCAGCATGGCCCTAAAGCATCCTCACGGTTTTTTTTGCCCCTAAAGGGATCATGTGGAACATTTGCGGATCCCAAAAAAGGAACTCAATGGAACTCACTGAAGGGCTTGGGATATGATTGTCTATATGGACTATCAGCAACACCGTTGACTTAAGATACCACGGAAGTTGCCACCAGGAAGAGAGGCACTCAGACCCGGAGCTTTGGCCACCAAAATTGATCAAACCAACTTTCAACCCCCCGGTGAGTTTAGGCGAACACCTATAAGTTTTAAGCCATAATATCATATATCTATCATTATCTATCCACATGTTACAAGCTAAGCTTCACCAAGCAGGATTGGTGACCTTGTTGCCTTGCGTTCGGCTCGAGCGGAAGGGAGTGGTCTACTCGGCTACTCGAGTGGTGCAGGAGTGGTGACCTTTGCCATCTATTCCTATCTTCGTCGTGGTCTACTCGATGCAGCCGCCCGGATGGAGCATTGAATCCTTCCAGCGCAGCATAGCGGCGATGGACGCGGCGGGAGCTGCATGCCACGTTGGGTGACAAAACGGATGACTTGGACAGACTGCTATGGTAAACCTCAAGAACAGCACTGCTATGGCAAAAAAACAGAAGGAGGGACATCGCGCACTGAAATCATAGAAAAGAAAGGCAAAGCTCAAGGTGAACCGTTCACTAGCCGGCCATGTGGTGCATGTCATGGGGGAATGGGACGGGGAGGGAGCTGTCTAATTACACCCTGACTCTGCAACCTTTTGTGATTCACGACTTGAATAGATGATCCATGATCCTTCAAATGCTCAGCAGCTGGAGCTATTCTCCGTACATGTCACGTTCATCATCCTTCAAACCAGGAGCTCCTCATATTCAACCAGCGAGGACGTCGCGACGGCCACCGATATGCTTGCGCGGTGGCTTGTGCTCAGGACAAGCTGACCGTGGCCTCCATGTTGGCTCTCAAGATCTTGGCCCGATCAGGCTAGCTGACCGGGGCCCGGGCCACGGTCGAAGTGAAGTGCCAGTTCTTCCCCAGCAAATAGGGAGCCGGCACTGGGAGCGACAGAGAGCTTTCCAACCCATTGTGAGTGGATGCATGTGCAGGTGCATGTTCTGGCTCTAGTCCCACCACGGGCTGGTAAGTGGAGCAGCCCCAGGTCTGGCAAATCCAACCACTCAGGAATGTACCATGTGTTTAGGCCATTGACAGGCACCCATGGAAATCACCTGGATCCGATGCGGAATTGATTAGGGGTCCTATCAAAAGCTAGAGCATTTCCACTGCGAAAACCATTGCTTTGCTGTGGGGCATCGTCTCGAACAGTTCTATTACTGTATTGGTAGCTCATGGTAGCTCGCAGGATGGTCCAAGGTTCGTTGTGGCGTGTCGCGGGCAAGCTTTCTCTCGAGCCGTGGCCCGAGCACGGTGATGAGCTCGTTCCTCCTCCTTTGTGGGGCACATACTATGCCTTCTATTCGTTGCGGTCCCGCAAGAATGCCTAGAATCCGAACTGGGCTGAGCTCCAGCATATCTGCTTGTGGCGCAAAGCCTCACATACAGCATCTCACGGAGGAACATACTATATGTAAAGTGATATATATATATATATATATATGGAAGTCGCACTCATTGAGTTAGATAGTGTCATGGACATATAAGGTGGTCCCTCGAAAGGGCTGGAGCTGCTCAGCAAGGTGTCAAACATGCTCGGCAAGGTCCAGTTAAATATATAGAACGTATAAAATATATATATATACATATAATATACCAGGGCCCCCCGTGTCAGGGGTGTCCAATAATAGCCCCTTAGAGGTTAATGGGTATTGATCAACCATCCCGGAACAGGGGCCCCTGCTATCACGTATTGGTGCCGGGTGTGGCGCAGGGGCACTCATGGCACGTCACCCAGAAGGGGACCAATCAATCGAACGACCGTGGACCGATCGGTCGAACGAATCACTCAACTAATTGAACCAGCCTAAGAATCCGGGCCCAAAACCAACACATACGGTTTTGAGGGCCCAGACCCCTGCCCTGGAGGGTACCCGTGCGGAGAGCCCAAGGATTGGCAAGTGGGAGCCAGGCTCGTCAATTCGGTCGAACGAGATCCGTTCTTCCCAGTTCCGGACGCTTGCAGGAACTGTGCAGCTCGAGGATCTGAATCTGTTGATCCGAGCTCCGGTGGACCCCAATCCCCCGCCCATGCCGGATACCACGCGCAGCTCCTTGGATCGAGTATGGGAGGAAGACTTGGAAGGGAGGAAGACTTAGGTGGATGGGGTGTGAACGTAATGCTTGTAATCCACTGGGACAACATGACGGAACTTGACAGAACCGACAGAACCCAGAACCGATCTGTTTGCAGATTCACTGAGACAAACTTCAATGTTTCAGATATCAACCCTAGAGGTGCGTCGAGAAGTACCGCAAGCACAAGCACACAGATTCTCAAAGAACGGGTCATTACAGTGGTTTCAGAAAGAGATGGCACACACCCAAAGATGGGGGCCCAATACAAACCACTTTTGGGGGATTGCACCATCTACTCTTGAAACCACCAAGATGAGGCATGACAAGGGAACGGCCGCCGAATGGAGCCCAGTGCCGGCTGTAACAGCCCCACCATAGAGGGCTCCTATAGGAGCATGACCTGTTGTTCCAAAGAACAAGAAGTTCCCACTGTACATAATTCCCAGAGATTTCTCATTCGATCCACTTGTTCGCAAGGTGTGCGATCATTTTGGGCGCTTGGTTTTCGGCCGTCGCGGTCGGTGAATTTGGCATTGGTTCGACCGTCGGCGCTGACCTGGGGACAGCTGGGGGCTCGGCACCTGTGCCAAACATGTGCCTCCCACCTCGCCGCAAGACCGTTTGCGCCCCGGACCCCGCAAACCCCGCGGATACTTGCACAGTCGCTCGCGCGCCCCGAGAGACAGCCCCGTGACGGTGGAGCGCCTGCGTCGGTGAGACATCTTAGGTTGGCTGAATGAACATCAATGGGCACAACTCAAAGCCCTGGAGGTTCTTCCAGTCTTCAAGACCGGATCTCACTCCTTAACCAACACCTTGGAGCAGGCGACGAAGTCGGAAGTGGGAAGTGTGACGGGGAAAAATGTGGGTGGGCCCACCCTTCAGCCAGAGGTGTGACAGTTTCCTGGTGTTGCTGATGTTTGTTATTTTTACTTTTTCCAGGCTAGGCAAATTCCGGAATCCCTGCCCTGATGGACAAGATATGTTATTCTTCTTGCCAGCTTCTTGGACAGCCGGACAGCACATCCAAGGGTTCGAGTGTTCGGGGACTGGCAGATTCGACTTGTGGTGTTTTTTAGGGTACGACTTGTACTCTGGGACCCTTACAGTGATCGTCCCTGAGATCCCAGAAACTCCATTTGGAGGTCTCTGTGAAGGTCCTGGTTGTTGATTGACTATTGCTTTGCCTACGTGTTGCACTATGGTGATGGGTCAAATCCTCTAGACTCTAGTCCGAGTCCGCCATGTATATAGCTTGACCAACATCCTGGTGACATGACCCACCATATATTTGACTGTGTGCAATTTGGGGGAAGAAGTCGGATGAAGTAGGACGATCACCAGTGCCCATCCCAGTTGCCAAAACCACTTGTTGCTGATGAGCATGAACTGATAGAACAAACATCATTATAGCAACAAACACACATCATGCCGAATACTAAGTTTACTCCTCCTCATTCATGTGCACATGGGTGCAACTGGTGGCATGTCTCAGGCATTTCCACCCCAAGAAGGACCATGACTAGCGGGCGTCCATGAGTCGAGTCCGAGAGGTTGCCTTCAATTGACGATCCACATCTTGGTAAAGGAATGGTGGGCCAGGAATCACGTAGTGACCTTCCAAGGGGCCGGGGGGAAATTGTAGGAGCTCTTGGGCCCGGGGCCAGCTGATGTACAGCAATACCAAGGTGAGGATTGGGTTCCCAAGTGCTCAATTTGCGCGGCTGAAATGTCATATTGTGAGCTGAGTGACATGGAAGTAGGCAACTTGGATTGGGAGCGAAGGATCTCCAGGGTGTTTAAACAGCTGCTGTTCTGTTTGCAGTCGCTTCATGTCGGCTGCCACACCTTTAGGTTTTAATAGACTTACTACGACTCACTGTTATTTCCATTATTTTGTCGGGTGCTCCCTGGACAGAGTCAGGCAGTGTCAGGCTCCACCTCGACACATGCCAGGACTCCTTGGGATGGAAACGATGGTTCGCGGAAGAACGGGCAGAGTCCTCGGACCTTCCCCGCGAGTGTCGGGAGTTGTGCCTCGACCGGCAACATGCGGGGTCCTTCGCATGGGGCGGTGTGCGCATGGAGGTGGGCCTGGGAAGGGGACAAGCTTAGCCAAGCTATAGATATTCAATGATCACAGCGTGCTGAAATCTGATCTTCCTCTCAGATGTGTCCCTCAGACATTGGCACCCCCGTTTCTTTGCTCACAGAGGTTGGCACCTGAAATGCAACGGGTTTTCCAACCTTACAGCTCTTACAGGGACCCTGTGAACCGATTTCGTCAAGGACAACTAAAGAATCAGATTCCATTCGAACCATTATATATATATATAGCATATAAAGCCTTTTTGGCATCATACCTTTATTTGGTGTCACCAATTTCAACACAATAACACCTACAGTACTCCCAGTACTCCCCTCAGACGTCCTCATGGAAGCAGACCGGAGACCCTGCACTTGTAGAGGAACATGGTCTTCCAGCGGCCGAACTGTTCCACTCCGTTTCAGGGAGTCTGACTTCGGGTGCTTTCTATTTCCCCCATGGCCCCATGGCATAAATCCCCTGGACTGGGGACTGGGAATAGGTGTTTGTTCCTCCCAGACTCCGTTCCGACCACCAGCACATCCTGTCGCACAGGTCAGACCTCTCGCTCCGCAGGTCTTCCTTCCATCGACTCTTCTTGCTTCGAGTGCTCCGGCCCGACCGCATCGGGGCGGCCCTCACACAGTTCGTCCAGGAGCGCGTGACCGTGACCGTGCGGGGAAGCGGCCCGCGGAAGAGCGCAGAGCGCAGCGGGAGCGGGTGCGGCAGAGCTGGCGTGGAAGAGGGTGCGGCAGACTGCCAAGGGCAGCCTTAGGACCAGGTGAGTCGAACTTCTGTCCCTGGGCTCCAAGTCCCTTCGTTTCAAAGGTGGGACTGGAGGGTCGAGTCATACCTTCTGAGGAGGTATGACTGGAGCCGTAGGGTGTATGATTTTTCCGTGACTAAGTCCCAGACACTCCATGGGACTGCCGCCTACATGGACCCCCTTTTCAACCACCCCAACTGATCGGATTTCATATGCCAGTATCACCTGTCGTCTTTGGGATAGGGTAGATCACAGCTGCTCGTCATCGATGCGACCAGGAAGACTGGGAGATACTGGGAGCAGGTTTGGGTTTTCCAGCCCATCACCTGCTATAAATGCCGATCGTGTTTTGAGCCTTTTTCTATCAAATGGCAGGTGGATGCAGGTGGATTCTAGGTACACCGCACGACCGGTCCGGCTCAAATCCAGGTCGATCCGGTCCGGCTCGGGCTCGGCGTTACGGATTCCACATCGGTTGCTTCAATCGTGACCTTCACTCCGCTTCACTATCATGGACATAGGCTACGTTACATAGGAAACCACCTGTTTTAGAATCATGCTCTTCGCAGGTTCCATAGTTAGTGAGTCAGAGTGTAGAGTTTGAAGCTTCAAAAAAGAGCTCCCCAAAGCTCCCTGAAAGCGACGGTCCTGAGGCCATAGGTTCTATCCCAGTGCGAGTGGCAGTTCCGTTCTTAAGGGACTTGGACTGCTTGCACCCAATCGAACGGTGGTGAACACATCATAGATCACAAATAGATATATTACCCTACGCACCCAAACCATAAATTTGTAGGGTCGATGAAAAACCCTAGGGTTTCTGAAGGAAACAGGTTTTCCAAACCAGTACCAAAATACGGGTTTAGTACGGGTATGTACGGGTTAAATATGGGTTTAGTACGGGTTAAAAATGGGTTTAGCACGGTTTAGAAAAACAAGACCCGAGGTTTTAAGAGCAAACCTGAGGTATTTTTGATTTCACAAGAATACCCGAGGTTTCGATTGAGACCCTACAAATTTATAGGGTTTGGTTGCGTTTGTAGAATATATATATATATACTGTATATTACTGTATATATATATAACTATAACGCATATAGTACTCGACCATTTCTTGTAGAGGTCGAGTTTGGCTGGAAGGACCCGTTTGTCTTTCCAGGACCATTTGGGACACGAGTTCATTGAGCAATTGCCCTTCGACATGATGCAGACGTATGAAGAGTCGACCTGCCTCACTCCGATCTTCTTCGTGCTGTTCCCAGGCGCGAAGCATGACCAAGCTGCGCAGATGCTGTGTCCAGCGGCTAGGCCCCCCCAAAACATGCTATAGCCGCTAGCCTATGTGCACGCTTACGTGCCGATTGAAATTTATAGCGCTGCTTGCGAGAGGATATGGCAGTGGAAAGGTCGATACACATCCCTGTACCCACAGATGTGGCAGTAATTATCATAGAGAGGGAAACTGGTTGGCATGTGCGAAGCGAAAGTTAGATGCTGAAGTGTTCAAAGAGAGCTTTTTGGGGGGGAGTACCGTTGCCAAACGCCACCTTTGTTATTTGTTTGGATGCCAAAAGTTGGTGCTAAGGAGTTTATACAAAATGGCAACACTACATTTGTGATGGTAGATTTTAAAAGGCAATTATGAAGCGGCACGCAAGAGAATACTCTAAAACACAAGCTAGGCGCTAACGTGGCGCTTGTGGGGCGCTAGCTTTTTTTTGAATCTGCTTTGATTGCTAGAAGCCATTTGCTTGGACCACATGTTTAATCTGTGATGTGCAGTTTCATAGGGCTAGCAGGAGCAAGGACACAACTTCAAATGGTTGGCATGTTGCACTATTCCTAGTGAGCTTGCTTTGCCCATTTTCACACCTTGTCTTTGCCAGGGCTAAACCAGGTAAATGTTCGAGACTTTTCGCGCTAGGCTCGCGCTAGCTCCGCGCTAGCTCCGCGCTAGCAGAAATTGCTGAAATGTGTGCATAGTGCACGGCACAAATGACAGACCCAATACTGTGAGAACAAAATGCGCGCAGCGCTCCTAGGCAAAGTATGAGCTGCACTTGACAAACGACAAAGCCCACACAAGTCGGCAGAGCAAACAGCTCAAGCAAATGCAGCAAACCAGCAGTACAGAGAGTAGCTCCTCTAGCACTGCCGACGGCAGCTCTAGTCAGCTTAGGTACAAAAGTATGCGCTAGTGTATTTTGCTGTGAAAAGAACAAAACATACCATAAAACAAGGTTTTACCATTAGTGTTAGTTATATGGTAAACATGAAGCGGCACGCAAGGAATTCTGCATTCGCGCCGTTTTCGGGAATAAGACTTTAGTCAACCGAAAATTTGGCTCATGCGTGCCAAATCCGAAATCCATGCCAATTCCTCCACCAATCACCACAGGGCATGCAAAAACCAGGTACGCGATCAGCAATCATCCGCCGAGATGCTTGCATTCTCTGGCATTCTTTGCGGACGTTGAGTAAGAGAGACCCCAAGGCCCCCCCCCCTCGGGCCGATCTCCAAACCGTCCCGGCCGAACGGACCACCGGCCTCCGCTCTGCCTCTCATCCGCAGGCACCGATCCGACCAGCACCATTGAGGCGACGGCGCATTCGTTGGGCTTAAGCTTTGGCAACGGCATGCTGCACAACATCTCGACGCTCGGAGCGGCGGATAGGTCCGGTCCGGAAGCGGTGAGGGCGGGGTATAGGAAGCGGTGAGGGTGGGCGAGAGAGGGATGGAAAACGAGGGAAAACGAGGTGAAAGTGGGAGGTATCATCGGGAGATGGGGTGGAAGTTGGATGGGGTGGTGGAAATGAGAAATGTTGGTGAGATTGGTAGCTGGCCATTTGGAGTGCAGGCTGCCTGCAAAGCAGTGTTCGACAACATTTGAGGATGAATTCGGCCCCGGTAGGAAGCTGATCTCTTTCCTTGCCCCGCCAAGTGACGACCATTTCCACCATTTCCCCCTATTGATATCCTAGTAGTGTGAAGAGTACGTGATCCCTGGTGACCGTTGTGTTTGTCCTTCCGGTTTGGGGCCCTACACCTCTTCCGAAGCTGATTGATTTGTTCAGCCCAGCTCTCACCAAAGCTCGACCTGCACCGCTTTGGTTGGGGTGGCCCCAAACAGTCAAAAAGGAACAACTCAAACAAAAAACAACGATGATCTCTATTGCCTCCTGATGAATTGTCCCCAGTTCAATCTTTGTACCCTCCAGAATTATCAGAATTCTCCAGCGACGTCAATGATTTTACCAAATTACATATAATTACAGTAACCCTCTTGGTCTTTCAAGGAAATGCATTGAATTCCAATTGGAACAGACAGAAGAATCACATCCTCCAAGTTGCCAAGCCTTAAAGAATCAGCTGGAAAGGGAATCATCGCACCCTCCAGAGTTGCCGCACCCTTTTCCTTCTCGCCTGAGGATGGGACAGGGCCAGGAGAGACGGGCTCTCGGGAGAGTCGGAATTTGGGAGACGTGAATGGCAAAAGGCATGGTGTCATCACCTTTTCTGCACCGCTTGAGGGTTGTGGACCATTTTTGGAGCACTTGGTACTCCGCAAACGGAACGGTGTAAGAATGTGAACAGCCAACTTGCTTAATCTTGCTTCGAAGGTTATGACTGGCCACTTTGTGATTTCCGGTGCCTTTTGGTTTGGGGAGTGGGGAGTGGTGGTGTTATTGGCAACCGACCGGCTATTATTCATTAGTGTGGCAACCCTATGCAACCCTTTGAGCAGCTGTGGCAAGGGATAGCGGAAGAGTGCAGTCGGAGTGGCAGTCCGGACCGGACTAAACTGAAACATGACAAAACCACTTAAGACACAAAACCACTGGTGGAAGTCCAATCTGCTGGGACTCATTGTTTGACCTTCACAATTTTCAATTTTGACCCAATGACTCACGAAGTGGTTTAGGGGAAGCACCATTGAGCGGAGGCGCGACCCCATTGCCGTGTGATAAGGACTGGCAATGCTTATGACATCTTATGGACATGCTCGCAATATAAACCCAATCAGCCGTGATAAGCGGGATATATGTTGTGGAGTTCGAATGCCCAGATGTTTCCTCTTAGAACGATTTTCAATCTTCCCCATGGCCGAACCGTGAAGACGTGGAGTCACGTTTTTTGCGGCGCGCTGGTGGCGCTGGTGGCGCTCGAGCTCAGCCTCAAGGAGATGGTTGCCATCAATGCTGTGACCAAGGCAGCAAGAGATGGCCATTGGGTGGTCCTTCAGAACATCCACTTGATGCAGGAGAAAACGAGCAAGCAGAGATGTCTCGACGGAAGACATCAACGGAACAAACACATTGAAGCATAGATGATGTTAATTTTTTCATGGGGGAAGGTCATACGGTATGCTTCCAAAAGGACGTGAGCATGTTGTGAATGTTCAGGATCGTGACGGATCGGATTTCAGGCTGGGACTTCAGCTATTTCAGCACCGTGAGGAGTGGCTGAAGTCCTTGGAACGGGTGCTGGAGACCATCGAAGAGTATGCCCATCCAGATTTCAGGCCTCGAACGTGAATGGACGGATCACGACGAAAACCGCCGTTCGTTCCGAAAAGCGCGCGCGTGAGTGAGTGGCCACTGGCTTTTCGGAGTGAGTGAGTGGATCCCAAAGGCCTCCGATCACGGCGCCAGCCACCTGGTTTGCCGCGACACCTCAGACATCTTGGGCTCGATCTTGCAAGTAAAGAAGCAACTTTTTAGGGCTCGGAATGAAGATTCCAACGTTCGGTGACCGTTGTGGGGCTCGGAAGTCTCACGAAGTTCGTGCAAATTGCCTCATGCATGCTACAATCGTTAAATTCTTACTGTAAAGCATTTAAATAGTGAACATTCTTGTGTACAGGATGTCAACCCAATGTCGTTTTGGTGGGCAGTCGGTGGTGTTTTGCAGTTCCATGAGCGGTGAAAATTGGACGAGAAATGTGGGTTTCACAGGACCCTGCAAATGTGGCATTGATGCTGCTGATAGACATTGATAGACATAGCACCCAATATGACCACCCCCCCATCCGCTGGAATCCACCATGAGATGCTGCATCAGACCGTCAAAGCACCGGAGCTGTCAGGTGCATTTTGACCTCCGAGCCGCCGAGCGTCTTACAAGGACCACTGTGGCCGATGGTGCCGGAAGCCATCTTGCAGAAGCTGCTCAGATCTGCTCAGCATGGACATGGGTATTTTGGATGGGTGAAAACCTCCCAAACCACCTCCAAAGCTGAGCAAAGGCCGAACAGAACCCTGCTACCATTTTGCTGCAATACGGTACCTGGTGCCATACCTGAGTCATACCTACCATCCTCGCCCGCGTGGCGGGCCAGAGCTGCGCAGCAGGTGAAGCATGGTACATATTCCTGAGTCTCCAAAAATACAAGGGTTTCGTCCAATTCTGTTCACTTGGATAGGTCAACCATATCACATCCCATCATATCCCATCGCGCCGGTGCCCCGAGGTAAAACTAGCCAGGAAAATCAGGTCAATCATTAAGGTCATTTATATTCATTTATTATGGTCGGTTCATCGCAAATTCACAGGTGACCAACTGAGCCTTGTTGCGACTGCTGGTTTCCCTGCCGCTTCTTCGCTCAGTTCACTGCCTGGTCCGAGCTTGTCCGCAGCGCATCCCAGGTGCATCAAGATCGCGGACGAGGCGCCAACGGATCTGAAGTCGAACCTGCGACGGGCCTACGCCAAGTTCTCCCAGGACGGTTCCGTGATTTTCATCACGTGGGTGACGGTTCGACCGGCTCGGCGCTGGACGGAATGGGCTATGACTGGTTGTGGTCTTAGATGGGTCAACACCTGGAGCCTAACTGGTCGGTAGGTCTACCGGTCGGTCTCGTGGTGCTCCCCACAGCCATGGGCCATGGCTCGCAGGAACACATCGAGGCCTGTCAGAAGCCTAAGGAGTTCAAGGCGGGGTGAAAAGTGGCAGAACCATCGAGGAACTCAGACGAGGGGTGTGGGCTTTTGGTGTGGATGTTGGGCCTGACCCAGAGGTGTCGCGTAGTGTGGGCCTTACCGCACCTTACTACCAATCGCCCTTGTACCCATTGTGGCCCTTTGTAACCATTCAGGGCTTGAAGATGACTTTCTTTGTTCCTGATCAATGGGTTCATTGAGCTGCTGTGGGATGGCAGGAGACCTTGGAAACACCTGCAGGTTCAGAAACATGTCGTGGTAGAGTTTGTTTCGACATGTTTCGATGCCGCATGATGCCGTATGCTCAACATGTAGATTCTTGGACACGCTGAGCATAGGAAGTTGGCCCACCACTGGAGTCGTTTTCATGGGCCATGGACTCCATGGACCAAAACCGTGCGTGTGGGCTGACTGTCACGTGCTCATAGGCCCAAGAAAGAACACAGAGCAAGTAGGATGATGTAGGATGTGTATTTTGGTTGCTCTTTGCCGGGCGGGAAGACATGGTGACACAGTGACACATGTATAAATATATAGACACATGGTTGCGATGGTTTCATATGCTGAATGACGTTGTCAAGACCCTGTTTGTTCAAGTAAGTCACAGCTCAGAAGACGTCGCTTGTAAGAAACATTAAGAAACTCGATTTCTGATGCATCTGCAGCGGGATGCAGCGGGCCAAATACCCAAAGACACACCAGTCACCAGCAAAGCACAGATCGATGGAAATCCAGGCCACCCTCTTCGCGCTTTGCTTCTTCCATTCCTTGGTCTTGGGCCGTGTGAAGTTTGGGCCACAAGGATGCCTGGCACTGGGACTTCGGTGGAGCAAGGACGCTAGGTAACGGGGCTCCTGGCCTTAGTTAGATACTAGGAACAAGGACACTACTAGTAATTAGCTCTTGATAAAACACATCCTACTTTACTAAACAAGTCAGGTTCTTGAACGCATCCTACCAGATTACCAACAGCTCGGGTAGTCGAAGGTAATTCGCGCAGACTTGTTTCGGGGGGCCTTGATTCTTGATGTTCACCAGTGATTCGCATCCGCCACCCCACAGGGGCCACCCCGGCTTATGTGGGCCGGGGCAGCCTGAAATGTTGTGATCTTGCTTGAAAAGTATGAAAAACCAAACTCGTCGAAATCGGGGAGCACCTGTAGTCTGCATCCTGAGATTTGGTAGTGGCCGTGCAAACCACCTCATGAATCCGCATGAGGGCCCCATGAATCCCCACATGTTTTTTAAACATAAGATTGAGAATTGATAATGATTGAGATATTTGTTGGCAATCTCTCAGTGAGTGATGTTGGATCACCTCAACATTAAACTTGGGTCTAGGTAGCCCATGTATGTTTACCTTTTATTACGCAATTACACACACGAGCACATGAAGCACATGCTTGTGTGGCGTCCGTGCTTGTGTTGTGTTCAGTACTTGTCTTGAAGGTCTGTCTACTGAGTTTACTGCTTGGGGGGGATTGTTATTGGGAATCCAGCACAGCATGACAGCAAAGAAGTAATCGACAGATATTGACAGAATATCCAGCATCCATGAACATATCAATTTAGAACTAATCAACTCCAATGCATTGTACCCAGGGCAAGCATTCTATTAAACTTTCATCACACACTGTGATGCTCAGGAGGCAGGAAGGTATGCACAGCTTTTTGCCTGTTGATCAGGATGGTCCAAGAAGTACCCTTTCAACGACGGCGACCTGACGATTTGTGCGCAGGTGCTGTGCAACTACCTCAACAACGTGGCATGCACTTGATTCAGAAAGAAGGCAGCAGAGGCAGTCAGGACAAGCACAAGAGCAAACCGGACCATGCCTTACTCTATTTTTGGTGGGAAGGCCAAGGCACGAGCATGTCTCAGCAGCGGACGAATTCCTTTTTCTGGGGAAGGCCAAGGAACAAAAACTAGCGACCTTCGATATACAACTGAAACTCAAAGCATCGATGAGTTTCAGATCACATATTTCTCCAAATCGGTTCCTGCCACAATCGAAGATTTGCCCCAGTCGCACCACTTCAGTTGAATGATGGCAATTGTTCATTAGGGTGGAGAAGATTTGGGGAAATCATGACCAGGTGACCCTGGAGAATTTCAGGCTAAGAAGACTTTGGACAACCGTCGCCATGCATAATCCAGCAGACCATGAAAAGACGGAGCTGGAGCTCATATATAAAGACGGAGCTGGAGATCATATATATATATATATGCATACATATATACTAATATATTATATATTATTAAAGCTCCTTATTCTAATATATTTATGTATAAATTAGTATATTGGAGCTCCTTTTTCATCGGAGCCCTCATCGCACTCAGGCGGAGAGGTTGGAAACGGAAGTTCCCTGGCCCGACCTCCGGTACATCTTCGGCGAGATCATGTATGGGGGCCATATCACGGATCAGTGGGACCGGGTCGTTCGTCGGTGAATGGGTGGTTTCAACGTTCGATTTGCAAACCTTGGCTCATTGCACTGTTCCATGTATAGGGATCAATAGGGTAGAGATCACCCGGGGCTCGGATTGGTTTCAGAAGGTGACTCTCACCAGCACAGCGTAATTTTTCTGCTGAAAGCCGCGAAAGACGCGTCTCGCAGCAGGACAGGCGAGTGTGCAACACGTATTTGCTGACCCTGGTGTTGCCCGAGCTGCCACTTGGACACCTGGGAGAGATTTCTTTGATGCGAGAACACAACATTCACCCCCCTGGTGGGAGAGATAAATAAAAGCTGGGCTGGTGAAGATGCCAAACATATCACACAACGAGTTGAAAGATCATTCATATTCATGCATCATGAGAGTGAGAAAACGATTCATTTTTTGTTGTAAAGCTGGCTGATGAAAGATCCGCCAGGAATTTCGGAGTTGCAGAGTCCGGTGTTTCTCGGTTTGGTTGGGTCCCAAACTTCAGTTTCCGATCGGGCAACGGGCCGTGTTTCCAGGCTGACCAACATGTCCTTGGCCCCGGGCTTCAAATCGCCTGATGCTTCCAAGCTGGAGTACAGCTCCTACCAAAAGCATCCCGGCTGACCCTGGGAGAGGCAGCCTGCCGGCCAAGCCGCATGTGAGTGAAGGTCTTCACTAGCAAGGTCAGGTGGTTTATGGAAGACCCCTTCAAGACTCTTTACCGTCCAAAAGCCCAAGTGAGGTGCTGAAAGGTGCTTGGTGCTGTGTTTTTGTTAATATGTGTGTTTTTTCCGTTGCTGTTTTGGCAGCTGCTTTGAATTGGGTTTGTTGGTTCAAGCTGCTCGCCTCCAACCTTTGCTTCCAGAAAGGGTGGGTCGTCCAGCAAGGTGGCGTTGGAGTTGCATGAATTCAGCTTGATCACTTGGCCCTTGTAATGCAACATGGCAATCTTCTTGGAAACAAGTACTGACTCAGATGAACTAGTTAGAGGATATCTTGACAGTGCTAGCATTTGACTCGTCCGCGATGTTCCGTTTTGCTCACCCGACCGAGCTCAGAACGCTCCGACTCCGACCTCCGTTTTTCCGACCTCAGACGTGTCGAGTCAGGTTTATCGAAGAGCGCTTTCCTCCGGAGATGCCGCAACTCTTTGGCTTGCATCCCAACGCCGAGATCGGGTTTCTGGAGACAGAGGTTGATGAGAAGTGGTGGGAGAACTTGGGGTCGGGAAGAAAGTTGTCTCGGTGAAAGTTGAGAAGCTGTATCACTGGGTCACAACCCATCTAAAGGAAAACTCACCACGTTACTGCAAGAGGGTCATCTTCGAGAACATTTGGCCCCCTATAGAGCGAATGATACAGCTCTGACAGAAACCGTATTAGGAAGTAACCAGGTAGTGCAGGTGTCCGGTGGACAAGGTCGCTGACCCATCGATGGTTTTCTTTCGTAAGTGCAAGACAAGGGGAGCAGACCACAGATTTGGGCCACTGAAAGCACCGACACCAGTTCCTTGCGGCTGCCCGGCCGTTGAGCAGGAGCCGGAAAGACAAGCTCAGACAGACCAAGAAATATGAAGGGTTTTGGCCGAGCTTTGAGATGCTTTGAGGGATTTTGAGGTAAGACATGTACTCCGACGCCACCTCAGATGTGTACGCGCGGATACGCCCTCAGCCCAAGATCATCATTTGCACAAGCATATAGGAACGGAGCTCATAGAGTTCAAGAACATGATTCAAAGAGAACCTGCAGTCTAGAGTCGTAGAGGACTTGTCTTCTCTTACCTTGGTTCCAAGGCCACGAATTCCACGGCATCCATATGCTTAAGATCCCCAATCCCTGGCAGCGTTCAAAAACGGTCTCCACTTCCGTCCGATGCTAGTGGCCGTCCGAAGAGTTCAGGTTCTTGACCAGCCAGGGGATCAACATCTTCAAGACCGTCCAGAGACTCAGCTGCAGCGAGGCTACGTAGGCCCGAGGCCCGGACCGCGGCCCGGACCGAGGTTCGGGACCGAGGTTCCCTGGGGTCGGCTGAGATGGGAGATCCCGGTTTCTTCATACTTTTGGTGTGTGTGTGTGTGTGTGTCTCCCCCTGCTCATATTCTTGCTTTGTTTCCCCCTGTTCTGTGACTAAGTGCGTGTTTGATAGTATTTGTACATATTGGAAGGACGGTATGTACGCAGGGCAGATGAGGTGAGCAGCCTTTAATCGTGAGATCTTGAAACAACAACAGGGAAGCAACGGGCTCTTAAAAATATAAATAAGCGAGACCCTACCAGAACATGAAGGATGATCATGGATGAACATTGTCCAAGCGTAGTTGTTTGACAATGTTTGACATGTATTGGAAATTCCGCTTCTTGATTTAAAGGGATTTCCACATTTACGCGTGCCATAGACGTTTTTTTTCCTCATAGTAAGCCGTAAGCGGTCCAACGATGGCGATGGAGACATTCAAGGTATACCATCCCAAAAGTCGAGACCTAGATAGACTAACGATGGCCCCACTGGCGGATGTAGGCCTGTTCCCCTCCCGGAGAGTTTGGTGAATTCCTCGCGTCTCAGGATGGTGTCCGGTGCAGACACTGCCGCGGCCGCCATGGATTTGGTTGCTTGTACTCCCCACATCGCCAAGTACAAGGACTGACCGTGAAGCCTTGCAACGTCGGATTGGAGCTGAGATCTTTCATTCAACCTGACCCAGACACTCCATGTATGCCATATATGCCTACATTGGGATGGTTTGGGGGGTCAATGTAGGCATATATTCCATACATGGAGTGTATGGGTGAGGTTGACAAGTTGACATTTCCCCTTATGCCTCGAGACATCTCGAGACATAAGGGGCCGTGGCCTTGCCGCCAACCCGTTGTTTTCAGGTTTCACGGTATGTAAGTTTATTCATATAGATCAACAACATGTGTATACAATAATCAATCAGGGGAGCATCGCAAAGAGACCTTTGTTGCTTGTTTTGTGCATGTATCATGTATTTATGTTATCAACATTCGGCTGCTGGTGTCGAGCAATGCTCAAGGTTCTGCGCCTTAGACCCCTGATGAAGCACTACTAGTAATAAGGGCATCGCTACTAGGAACAAGTGCATCGCTACTAGTACGCCTTTGTTACTAGTTTCTTGCTACTATAGTAGCGATGCACTTGTTCCTCGTCACAAATGATGTGAATGTCAACCCTAATTACACCATAAGAATCCAGGCCCTGAAATGGGAAGGTTTCTGATCCGGGTCCGACCCTACCATGGATGGCCCGGATGGGAATCTGGAAAAAGGACCAGAGTGTGCTGTCTTCTAACTTGCTGGCCCTCAAGTACTTGCGCTTATATGTCCACTGTCAGGTGCGTGAAATGTCATCATTTGACTCAGGCCTAAGGGGATCACATGTAAGAAGCGGGTATTTGGACAAACTGTAGTGATGACCTGGGCAGAACTCACCCATGGTTTTCGCAAATTCCCCATGCAGGACGATTTGCCCCAAGATCTGGACATGGCAGAGATCCGCGGAAGGCTGCGAGAAGAGGATTACACGCCATATGTGGCTTGAACTGTTTAGTTTCTTTTTGTCTGAGGGCTGCGTTGTTTCGCTTCCTCCTTGAGTCGTTGAAGGAGAGAAAAACGTCGGGTGCAATATGGTGCAATGCTTTTGTTATTTGTTCAGAAAGGAATTCAGGCCACTCAAGCTCGAGGTCCTCTTCAGACCCGGTGCCTTAGCTGGTAGCTTTGTAGATCTGACTGCCAGGTGGTTGTCTACTGTAACCTGCTAACAGTTAGAATATGATTTAAATAGTTTTCAGCATTTAAATGTATCCTCCAAATTCCGGCCAAAATGGAACCAGGTATGACCACCATGCTGTTAGAATATACATATTCTATCTGCAGTTGTTGAACTGCTCCTGCCTTGCAGAATGACTAGGTGTGAATGCTTCAGATGGTTGGAGGCCATCGCTAAATCGTGAAGTCAGTCTGATGCACCTGATGGTTGCTGGGTTGAAGTGACCATCGCGATATCTTACATAGCATAATTGCATCACTGTCACAACTTTTGCATGGGAAAAACGAGGCAGCTTCAGAGTCCGCTTGTGGTTCTTCTCTTCAGCTTTTGACACTTCATCTATTTTATAAATATATGACACTTGGGATTGTCCATATTCTATCTGCAAGCCAAAACATGTAAAATCAAGGCTGCAAAAAATCTAAGTGCATTTACTGTTATGTTTTTTTATTAAAGCAAGTATTCTAACTTCTGGCAGCTTACTGTATATATGTTTTTCCTCATAAGCTTTTGGTCTTTGGGTCGTTGGGCTGGGCTTGAGTTGATCGACTCCTGCAGCCAAGGTCATTACATCCTTGCAGGACAGGACGAAAGCAGAGAAGGGCAGGTTTGGAGGGCCTTTCTGGTGGGATCGGGTGATGAGTGGGACCTAATGAAACATCAAGGACACCCCAGGACCTTCCGACAGGTGTTTTTGGAGAGCCCGGACCCCTGGACACCTCTAAAGCAACTACTGTCTAGACACCGAAAACAGGAAGGGCCGCATGACGCCAGGAAGTTGGGAGAAGCACTGGCATCGAAACTACTGTCATCCCTCTTTCAAGAGACGATGTTCCTAGCCTTCACCTGCCACGAGTGTTCCAACGTATCACCACTGGTCACCAGCCACGGGGACCGACCGGTTGACCCATAGAAAATGAACAAGAATGGTCAGCCAGGGGGGTTAACAGACCCCTGGTGAACCCGGGCTCCAAGTTTTGACCCATTTCAACCCCCTGTGAATCCAGCTTCTTGTCCAGTTTTTTTCCCCGACGTCCAGGCTGCGGTTTCGAGCTCGCTCGCACCCACGGTTTCCCAGGAGAGCGATCGGATGAATCTGCTGGTGGGCCACATGCGTTTGCAACTCACAGAGTTGGAGCTGGGCATCAGTGGTGCGTTGAACATCACCGAGGGTATGGAGAAGCGCGGTCCCGATTCAGAGGGCGAGAGGTGAGTTGGGACATGTTGGGAACCTATTGGTGAGGCAGCTACAGGGGTGAGTTGGGCAGGATGAAGCAGTTGGATGCAGTTTGGATGGCGAGGCATACTGTGGTACCCCCCGCAGTAAAATTTGACCAACACCCGTTGGATGAATTCGACCCAAACCCATAGACCTCCCAGTTCGAAAGGCAATGCGTTCAGTGCCCAGCCTACCCATTGTGCCAGGGGGGTGCGGTAGCAATCCGTATACCGACTAAGTCTTGAGGAGTCCAAGCACTCAACACCCCTTTAGACGTGCACTCTTCGATGGGCATTCATACCCAGGAACTCGTCCAGGCTAGAATTCCATCCCGAATCCATTCAGGCAGTATTTCTGCCCGAACATGGTTTTCACGCCCGACCCTGGAATTCTCGCCCGAATGTGTTTTTGCTCATTTTATTTATTCTGCGAGTGATGAATACATGCAATGCAACTTGAGTCTACGAAATCCACCCGATCACACAAATTCTCGCCCGATCACAAAAATTCACGCCCGAATCACGCCGATTCTCGCCCGAATTGAAATGTCGAACATTGCTTCAAAACTGCAATTTGCAACTTTGCAAGTATTTTGCAGCATCTGCCCGAATAAGGATTTCTGCCCGCAGGCTGTTTTTAAGGACAAACCCTGGTTCAGGCAGATTTTCTTGAACAGGCAGAAATTTGAGCCTGAATGAGGGTCCAGGTATAGAGACAGCATCGTCAAGACATCCCCCCCCAAAAAAATACTACAATCACTCTTTGGTACACCATATATCACCATATTAAGCTTCACCAGTGGTTGGATTTCGTTCAATTCGAAGTGTTTTTTTGGTTCTGCTCAGGAATTTGTCCAGTTCCTTGCAGCTCAATCGCGTAAACGACTCCTGGAGAGCTTTGGCATATCCATCACTGAAGCCTTTGGGTGCTTGGTTCCAGGCCCCGCCGTTGGCTCCGCGAGTCAGAGACGAGTCGTTGGGCTGCGCCACGCACTGGGTCCACCCTGGAGAGGCACACGTGACACACAAATAAACCCACACATAACCCTTTAGGAGGCCTTTTTGGACCATGGTCAGGTCCGAAAGCAAGCGAAAGAAACGCATCACCGTCAAAGGTCATCAAAGATCTAGGTGCCCACTGGCGCGCCTTCTCGTGATGCTGGTACCCTTCGTCCATGACTCGTTTGACTCGTCTTCTTCAGCATCAGCTTAGTCCAGGCCGAAACGTGATGAGGGGGCTTTCACCGGCTGGTACCTTCCAACAGAGGTTGAAGAACCCTATAGGCTATCCCATAGGTACCCTGGTAGGGTCCTATAAGGTTACTTAACCTCTGTTGGTTACAAGGCGTTTTTGGCCGCAGGACCTCTTGAGTCGCATGCAGCAGTTGGTGGAGTGGACCAACGACCGGCCACGTGGCGAGCGTCGAGCTCGGTCCGTGGGGAAGTTCGGGGTTGGTGCGAGTTCGCTGGAAGTTCGGCTGAGACATCTGTGAAGTTCGTCGTGCAGATGAGTAAGCATTGCGGAAGTGAGGTCCAGACACTCCATGGCACTGCCAATGTATGCCATATATGCCTACATTGCGGGGGGTTTGGTGGGGTCAATGGGGCGGCAGTCCTATGGCAGTCCCATGGATCGTCGTGTCTGGGAGGATCGAGTTCCGCGCATTCCGGAGTCCAAATCCCCGCGGGAAGAGGCGAAGGGAGCCTGGTTCGGCGAGGCATGGCGAGGCTTACAAAGCACTGGTATTCAGCTTCCATGTGAACCTTCCATGCCGTAAGAGAGATGACAACGCTCCAGTTTTCTGAGGTTGGCCACATCGGCGACAGACGCAGGTATAGATGACTCCCCACATGTTTCTCTTGCGAAGCTGGGGTATTGGGTGACTATTTCTCTCATGTCGTTGCGTGCTGAATCGCTCTGATGGAAAGACACCCCACTTCAACAACCGGTGTGAATCTTGGGGGGGCGGATTGTTGCGAGCAGACAGATGTGACAGGTTCGTGTCGAACTGTCGTTTGTTGGCTGTTCTGTGCCCTTTTTTTATTTTTTTCCTCTAAACACCTTAGATTGACCACCCTGTCAGAATCAAATCTCTGTTCAGCTATGTTCAGCTATACGCGCACTGCACAGCTGAAATGGTTGCTCGTCACTGGTTTGCCCATGATGCGGGCTTCTACGAGTCAATTATGAGAAATAAGTCATTGATACACTCCCTGAAGCAATCATAGAAGTGGACAACCAGCTGTACTAGCATTCGGGCAACAGTGATCCAAGGGCCAGACATGGCCAGACAGTTCACCTTCATGATAAGCACACAACTCAGATCAACTCAGACTGCAGAACGAAGCATTGTCCTTTTCACCCCCGCCTGTTGCTTTTCCTTCGGATGGTTCCGTTAGGAACGGCGTGCTGAAATCGACCTGGATCCCGGGACTCTTCAATCCGATGGCCTTCTTAACGGCGGTGATGCAAGTCACGGCGCGCAACAAGCAGCTTCCACTGGACTACATGACGAATCGAGCCACCTTCCTGAGACTCGGCTCTTTTCAAGACGCTTTTGCCGGACTGACATGGAAGAATAGAGGCCTGCAAGAAGATAGAAAATGGCAGAACCTCCATGAGGATATATGAACATCCTAAGGACTGCATTCTTTCATGCAGGCCTCTAAGAACTCATAGGATGTTAGAGGCCAAACAATCAACAATGCAGTTGAATTTTGACAGAAGCGCCACACAAGTCGAGTCCCGTTCCACAGGTCGAGTCCCTGTTTTGTAGAACCGTGTCGAGAAGAAGAGGCTTAAGTGACTGGCATATCTTGGCCTCACTTTGAGTGTTTTTGTGGTTTCAACACTCTTTTTACAGCTGCTGTAGGAATCTGTAGGGTGTTTTGTGGCATGCAACCGTGCATGTGTTTTTTTCCGCACTCCAGAGTCAGGGGTTTGTTCAACAAGTCTTTCTGGAAGATGATGTAGATGGTTCAAGAACGACAAAGGCATTATCCAACAGCAAAAACACATAGCTGGCCCCATAGCTTAAGTCATTGACCAATTATTCAATCGGAGCTTTGTACACATCGGGAGCCTCGATTTGGAGCTGCAAATTCCCTGAGGAATTTGATGGACCCCAGCGATGTGGTGAGCTTGCCCACGAATGGCGTACACATTCATGGGCTTTTCCTGGAGGGCGCGAGCTGGGAGGAGGGCAAAGGAGATGACGAAGGCCGGCCTGGCCATGAACCAGCGTAGCGAGCGTCGGAACCACTGGCATGGACTGGCATACATTGGGGTATTTTTGGGTGGTTTCAAGGGCCAAGGTAGGCATATTTATTCCATGCATGCTGCCTGGAGTGTTTGGGGATCTTTTGCGAGACCTGCGGGACATGCGGCTTGACGATGAACCCTTTTCGAACAGGGAACATCCCACTGGGTCGGGGGTCATGGCCGACGGCCTCGTTGGCTTCGGATTACTCAAGTTCTGTGCTGAGCATGGCAAAAACCGTCGAAGCATATCTACCTGGTTCTTCAAAGTGACCGTACTTGATCACCTGGTTGGTTCAGTCACAGAAAAGCCTCCTATACGGGTCACTGGATGGAACCTTCAAAAGGTCACGGACTGAAGAAGCTGGCAGTGTAAAGTATTAATAATGTCAAATGGGCATTCTTGGCGTTGTCCCATTCTGTTCAAGGTTTTTCCTGGGGTCTCCCAATGGAAGCCATTCAACAGGCTACCTGTCGCTTTTTGCTCACCGGAAGGCTACATCTCTGACTCCAAGATGAAGGCTCCGGCTGCGCGAAGCGCGCAGATAGGGCGACCTACCAGCCGTGTCCTGGGTATGTTCCATTCAAGGGCACGACAAGCAAGTAGAACGGTACCGGTCTTTGCAGTTTTCCTGAAACCTTCTTTTGATGTGAAGCGAGGCAAAAACAGTGCAGTCACATGTTTGAAGAGTGTTGTTGTCAAGGTGTGATGCCCCACTTTTGACCTTCAAGTGCACAGCGCAGAGGTGAGCAGATTGATGGACGTTTATCTTCTTCCAGCAAGCAGCAAGTAGTTTGCAGTGCATCCCCATTCTGGAACCAGTCTGGGGGATCCTTACTAGACACGTGACTGGTTGGTGATTTTTTCCTCCACAACACTGTGGCTACCTGACTACCTTCTGGACAAAAACGATGCCAGTTTTTCAGGCTCGCCTTTTTTCCCCCGGTCCCCATGGTTCTTCAACGGGTTGACCGTGCATGGGCTCGCGATGTCGAGTGACCCGACTAGACGAGGTTGGACCTTTGCAAGATCCATCAAGACAACGTCTGCAAAACGACGGAGCTGTGTCAGGGCTGTAAGAAAGCTGGATGTCCACCTCCAACTGAGCAATTGTGCCAACATCTCACTGCCTGGAATCATAATCGTGGACAACCACCGCCTTGTAGAGGAAAAATTGTCATCCCGAAGTCGCGATACAGTTCACGTAGTTAGACGGCACAGACCCCAAGATCTGAAAAGATAGGGCCGGGGTCCAGGCCTTACTATAAACCACGAAACTTGGGGATTCTGCCATCTACTCTCCATAATTCTCCATCCACTCGTATCATTCCACTGCGTTGTTTTCCCGTATCATTAACCGCTCGTCAGAGAGAGCTGGCAGCGGCATTTCTTCCTCCACCTGGAGGGAGAAATGGAGACGTTTTCGGAGCGCCTTGGACCGAACAGATGGCGAGGAGCTTCATCCTGAGATGCCCGTGGCCAACATTTACTCAGTACACATCGATGAAATGCACCTTGGCGAAGGGGGAGGGAGCACAGGCATCACCAGAAGCAGAGTGGATGAGGCAGGATGGGGCAGGATCCGTCCTTTTGAGTCACAAAGACGGTGGGTCGTGTTTGAGTCTCCTCCACTGGTTTTCAAGGGTTGGTTAAGGCCACTGTTTGCAGTGTTTGTTCGAGTGTGCACCGTTATAAGTATTATATACAACAAGTTCCTCCAAGCTTTGCGTGGTTCCAGCTCATTCTTTCCTGCCTCGGAACGAGGAGCTGGGAGAACATGTACCACTGCCCAGTCTTCATCACCTCAGAACGCGGGCCGACCTTTGTTACGCAGGCGGGCATTGGGCACCCGACCCGATAAAGCCAATACCAGCACCCGACCCCGACAGGTCTCCGAGTTCTGGCGGCGACCTTGTAGACTTAAACGTCGCGACGGTGACCTGTGAAGTCGGGTCCTTCTACATGCATCATGTCATCCAGTGCTTCCTGGTGTAGAGCACCAAGTTTTGCAGACTTGACTTCGCTCCACCAAATTGATCGATGCATGGGGGCATGCATGGCAAATCCTTTGTCACATTCAGTATGCATGCGATGTATGACTGATACGCTACGGCATGTTTTGTATCAAAAAAACGGATTTTAAAAAACAACACGCCCAGAGCTTTGAAGTAAAATTCCAACTTCTGAAGGGGCGACTAGGTACAGGAGGGGAGTCGGTGGCGGAACCGGTCTGTATAGGAACCCGCGGCAAGTCAACAATCAGGAGGAGACTCGTGAAGAAGAACCGAAGAACACCGAAGTCCGACTCACCCAAATTCCCTGCGCTAGTCAAGCCACCTGTCAGTGTTATCAGTGTTTGCAAGAGACAGAGAGAGAACCCCAAATTCCCTGAACGGGCGGATTCCTCCTGTCTCCAAAAGGACTTCCAGAGAGAGAGAGAGAGAGGAACCGCAGTTCCATGCGGTTCCTTTGATTTCATTGGCGGTTCCTTTCGACTCGTCATGACTTCTTTTTGAGGCAGACTGGGAGGGTTGGCCATTTTGGGGGGTGGCGCCCTTGTGTTGGTGATGCATCAGATGGGAGATGAGGAAAAGACACATTTGATATCATTTAGACTTTTTGGAGGGTGTTGTGATCCCGAGCTTTTTCTGGCCAAGGCAAGTTGCCGGGAAGGAGGATGAAGGAGGCATAGGTCAACATGGCAAGATATTCCATGATCCGAAGACCTTCACAGCTTCACTCCATTCCCCGGACGCCAGTCCCTGTCAGCCTCCACGGTGGATTTGTTTATTCGGGGAACGACCTGCATCCGGAAGGTGAATGTGAGAATGGATCCAGATGATGAAGAGTCTCCCGGGAGCGTGTATTGCTTTTGCATGTTTTTTTGTGGTTCTTGCTTGTTTATAAATTGTTGTTTTTCATGTTATATATGTGCTTTTAACGTTGTTTTTCTCACGTGTCCAGTGCCTGCCAAGTCGCCAACATCTTTAAAGCACAAAAGGTTTTCAGCTGAAAAGTGTCCCGTAGAGCCTAGGTCCTTTGACTCTAAAGGATTCCCGTAGGTTTCCCATATTAGTAGAAATAATAAGTTTCTTTAAAAAAACACACATCTAGGAACCAAATACTTTGTGCGAGCGCTTCTTGAAGAAGAGTGAGCTCTCCTGCGTCCTAAGCAGTAGCCATTTAAGCTACTACTAGCTACCTACCTCGCTACTACCTACCTCCTAGCGGCCTGCCCCCCGCTCCGACGAGCTGACCTCCCATCAGCCAAGGTTGAGGTGGATTCTAGCGGGAGCTGCTTTAGTGATGACCGACGACTGAGGGAGGGGATGCTTCGCTGGTACCTGTGGAGAACAACGGAGCTAGCTGCAGCTGTCACGCAGACAGTTTTGTTTTTCTATTCTTTGGGAGTCGGGCAGACCTGCCCATACACGAAAGCTACACTTAGCTACATCAAACAGATGCTTTCTTTGGTACCTGAGAATCCCTTCTTCTTGAGACTTGCCGTTCAAGCAGGGTGGTGTACATTTGGATGACTCCAGGGCTTTGCGATCGAATTGTACAAATTTTGGCACCGCCGAAGCGTTGAGCGACTAAGACGGTCGCAAGACAGACGCCGGCAGCGCCTGTACGCCGGGAAAGGATGTCACTTCGCTGTTGAGTCCTGTTGATTATCAACTGTAGGCAGAACTTTTGTTCGATTTGCAACATGCCACGGCCACAGTGTGTTCCATGGCATTTTAAGCAGTGACTTCTGGTCCGGAATTGAGATGCAGATTGAATTCAGCCATGAATAGTCCAGCGGCGAGGCTTCAAAGTGACAAGCTCTGTGGTTGAAGTGGTGCGAGAAACAAAACAGGTGCTTGACTTGGGTGGTGGGGGTCTTGTGCGATGGAGTTGAGGCTGGAAACGGAGTTAAACATCCAATTGTTGATCGAGAAACCTGATCACCCCATCGGCATCCGACCGCTGCGAATTGGACCATATAGCCCTAGCCCTGTATAGCCCCATGAAGGAGCTAAGCAGCTAGGTCTTGAATACTCCCCAGGACTCCAACATGCTCCAACTGCCAAGGTGCTTGCACCTTAGGATATGGTTGTTGGCGCCCGCTCTTGGCCTATTGGCCGAAGGGCCAATCAACTCCATGATGAACCGGGACCCATGATGCGTAGCTGCCACGTGAACCAGGGCCCGGACCTTTTGTGTTATTCATATCAGTTGCAGTAAGCCCAGTAAACTTTATGTATCAAGAATGTACTAGCAAGTTAGACTGATTTCGGATTGCTGGGTGGGTGACACAAAAACCCCTCAATCATTGTTCGATGGAGCCTCCTTTGAGAGGCAGACGATCACTTTAAACCAGTGTTCAAAGGGAAGTGGAGAACGTCTTTGGAGTCTAGAGAAGACTGGCAGCTAGAGCTATATATATATATGTTATGACATGATATAATATGAACTGTTTTTTCGTTCAGGTTCTGACTTTTCCTGAAGCCCTAAGCTGGGCCGTTTGGGGTTGTCACTGGTTCCATCCACCCGGAGGCCTTCAACTTTACCATCAAAAGTGCTGAGTGGAGGCCTCAGCAAGGGACCGTTCATCCCCCGAGCCAGCTACCGGGGTGAACGGCGCGAAGGATCGGACGTAGGGCCGTCCTCGGGCGTCCTCGGTGTTTCGATGCTTTTCATGAAGTCGTGGTTTAGATATTTTGATGTTCAACCTTTACTTCAGAATGATTGACTATCATTGACTACTATAATATTGACTTGAGTGAGTTGAAGCACCAACCACAAGTTGATTTCTTTCAACTATATAATACTATTATATATACTGGTGTGCCCCCTGTGGCGCCTTTGTCGCAACGACCGGACATGGTTTGTGTTCCCGACTGGCCTGCTCGCTCGAATTGGGCGGTGCTCCCTCGAATTGGGCGGGTCCTGGATGAGCCTGCGAACCTGGGGTGCTGATTCAAAACAAGCTTCCCTACAAGTCCTGTTTGACCCAGCAAAACCTGGTCTTGAAAACCTATACTGTACTTGAGTCGTGCTTTTGTATGACCAACTCTGGCCAAGTTAAGTTTTTGAGTTTTGGGGGTGTCTAAACGAAGGGCCTAGAACTTTGACTTAGCATCTCGACCCTGTCGCTTTGCAGAACATGTCCACCTCACTGCGCTAAGGACTGGCAACGTTCAAGTCCGTACGGTCCCCTCGTGTGACTCTCGGAATCTCTCAGAGAACAGTGGGTTTTGCGCAAAAAAGACGCGAATAAATTTACCTCGGACATGTGCCTCCTGCAATAAAGGTGGACGGAGTAGTCACTATTGGATGGTCCTGGTCCCTGTTTCATGTCGGTCCACGTGGGATGGCGGAAGGCGTTTGAGTCCGGTCACACGCCGCCCACAAATAGCTCACACCGTCCCAAATCTGGTGCCATTGACTCTGACACCATTGGTGTAAGCCCAATATATAGCTCATACATGCTCATACATGCTCATACTCATACAATCACGGAAACGGGGCCATTTACCCGAATGGCAGACAGGTGGTTTTAACTTCCCATGTTAGGGACTCGGAGTGCACCTCTCACTTCTCCTCCAACAATCATGGAAGTGGACTTTTTGGCCCCTGGGAAGACGACGTTCCTTTACAAACCAGTGGGTGTCCAAGTTCATTGTTATTGTTGTTACTATTCCAGGGAGTTGGAGTGTACCACTGGATATAGTTATATCCATTATTATTGTCCATTTCCGTGATTATGTCATGTGTGCTTTTTGGATCGGAGCCTCTGCGTCGCTGCTGTTGTGCGTGTTGTTCAGGCCGAGCGACGCGCTGGGGGTTGGAGCAGGCTTGCCAGAGGAGTTGCCCGTGAGGAAGCACAGAGGAGTTCACAGAAGGCCTTGAGAATCCAGTATTAATTTCACACAATGCATCAACATGCCCTGCTTGGATGAGAATGATCATCTCCAATGTAATGTAATGTATGTGCGTTTTGTGTGAATCATGAAGCAGACAGCTAACAGCTCGCCATGAATGAAATCGGCGAACCTCCTAGGATTTTTTTCAAGAAATTTGAGCCCCCTGGGCCGTAACTGTCCGGGTCACTCCATGGTTGTCGATGATCAGGCCTGTGATAAAAGAACCCTCCCTGGGAATCAGCAGAATGTTCCGGGGATTTGCTCATCTCGGTGGAATCCACTTGTGCAACTGAAACTTGCGGCAAATGGAGTTGATGTTGCAAGAGTTGGAGCCTGATCTCATGTCAAGACTCAGGCCATTTGCCAGGTGTTATGCGCTCTATCAACTATTATACTTTTAGATACCATCAATTTTTGTGATCATGTCCAGAGGGAGTTTGCCAACCTTTGTGCGTTCATTCTTCCGCTGCCAGAATACCAGCTCCTGATTGTGTTGCTCAAACAACGGGCATCTCGCCACACACCTGTCACCTCGCCACACACCTATCCCAGGCCAGGTTTATCCTCTCAATCATTTGCAGCAGTGGGCAAGAGATCACCGTTTTTAGGTCAGGGGCGAAGAAACATCGTTCTCAACCATCAAGCTATTCCCATTCTTGGAAGGCATGAATATGAATCTTCTTTTTTGTGTGTAGGCCAACGGAGGCCAATCGGGACTACTGTGCCCAGACGTAAAGACACTCGAAATGGTAGAGTAAAATCAGCCAAAACACGCCAAAACTTTTTACTTTGCCGGTTGTGAAGCTGAGCTGCCAATATTGAAGTATGTTCAGCAAACATAGGGTTCTATGCTATACCCGGTGACCCTTGCGTGAGTTTTCTATGGGGTATATTAGATTTTTTTTGCCTCAAGTGTTTGGGAATTGTAGCGCCATGTGTAAGCCAAAAGCACATCATTCACAGAAATAGCTCGACGGACAGACCGACAATCCACGTCAAACAAAAGCATGTCACTTTAAAGGAAAATGTGGTGCACTCCCAACTCCTACGATTTGCACAAAGCACTGGAAGAGCTGCTGCTCGTGCTCCTCGTAGTGCTCAACCGGCCGAATTGTCCTGAAGCCTCAGGTGCTCAACCAGCTGCTGAGCATTGCCTTCGAGAACATGACCTCAACTAGGCGGCCTTTTCCAGTCCGAGAGAGGCCTTCCAAAGAAATCAGAGTCGCAGATATACTTAACCACACATGTGAAAACAGAGGAAGACTGGCCACCGGAGGATGTCATTTCTAGTTCCTGCGTAACAGACTATGGTGGTCCAAAGGTGCCGCCTTTTGTTGTGATCATAGAAGGCCCTAGGACCGACACTGTGTGCTGTGTGACCTGCAAGTGGATGAGCACCGGGGAACCTTGGGCCTACGGCCCTGCAAGCGATCAACCAACAAGCAACTTCGTAGAACCAGATTGATCCCTGTTTCGGAGGCCAGTCACATGTAATTTTTCGTGTCAAAACGGAGTTCACTGGGTTCTAGGTTCATCTCGTTGTGAGACGACCTCATAAGGTGCCTGCGTTCAGCGTTGCTCACAATGCCCTGGAATCCTTGTGGGTGATTGCGTGGTGATTGCTTCTTGAACATCCGACCAAATCTGACCCATTATGTTTTTGTTGCCCATGCAGCAGCTTCCCAGATGCTGTTTAACAGGATCTCCTGTGGGTTTCTATTTTTAGGAGAGGCCAGCACTCGCATATTTTTTGTCAGCACGTAGTGACGTAGTGCTGCCGCAAGATGGGAGGGGTCAAGTGCACTGAAGCACCAGTTCTATACATTCGGCATCATTCGGCTATTGCTCAAAGTGCTCCTCAAACCCACTGATAAATGAGCATTGAGCATGTGCGGGTTCCTGGGTTTTTACTTGTTTTGTTTGTTTCAACTCTTGTGTTTGGAATACCCACAGGTGATCCAAGTCATGACGTTTCCAGAATCCCGTCACGTTTCCCCACGACGAGATCTTTCTACAGCAAACAGCTCGCTCGCTGGCTGGGCCCCAGCCAGCGCCGGCGCTGGGTGTGCCCCACCCATTCTAGATTGTACTCCCCTGCAGATTAACATGGAAACTGTGCTGTTGTTCATCCGCAGGAGTGGCGAGTTGATTCAAGCCAATGGGATTTACACCCGAGGCTGGGTCGGGGGCGAGTGGGCATCTTGAAACAGAAAAGGGGCCTGAGAATCTTGAGAGGGAATTGAAAGGATATTTTTTTTCAGATCCTCCTCATCATGAATCATGAATGGATCTGCCAACTGATGCACCATGTCCTACCTGCCCGTCCAGGTGGTTTTGGGGGTCCAAAGGTAGAAAAGAAATTTGCCAATCGTGGCGTTGGGAATTGGGGGAATCCACCACGAGTTCTCCACTCCGCAAACGTAGCCTGGTCCCATTCCCATCAGATGGCCCTCATTGGTGGAGGCCTCATTTTGTAGATTGCAGGCTCCACCCGTGGTTTTGTGGAGTGTCGCCATTCTTTGCACTTTTGGTCCCTCCCA